CGGGCTCAGGGTGGGTTAGTCAGCTAGTTAATCCTGTCATAGCCAAGTTCTTTTGTTTAACTTGAATCTGACTACATACAGCTTCGGGTGATGTTGCTAGAGCGAAAGTAGTGGTGGGGAAATGCCTGCATGGTAGGGTTGCCAAGTCGCAGCGGGGGATTGTATGTCTTCACAGAATCCGTGCCGCGGGGACGGCTACGCGTCGCTCTGGCAATGGGGATCCAAACAGCCCCGTTGCCAGAGCGATGCGTAGCGTCATGTCCAGGTGACGGCGGTGCAACGCATCTCGCCGTCCTCGCGGCATGGATTCTGCAAAGACATGCGGGTCCCCCGCCGTGATTTGGCGAGATTTGGGAAGCCTACTGCATGGTGGAGACTATGGCGTTTGAGCAGGAAAGTTCATGTTGTCTTTGCAAAGCATGGCTTCTCTATTAGTCTAGATGATAGTTCCAGGTGTCTGCGATTCTCAGGGAAGTTGGAATGCCGTCTACCTGGGTTTGCAGTCATCTTTAGGGCTGCAGGGATGGATGGCATTGGGTCTTCCATGGGTCCACATCTGGCTTTAACATGCTGCTTCAGTCCAAGGCTTTCCCTTGGCTGAGTGCATGTCTCTTTGTCCAGTAAGTTGGCTCTGTCTCATGAGCACCAATCAGTCCATTTTCCCTGGCACACTCTTTGTATAGTCCAGATATAGAGGTATATCAAAAGTCCATTCTTTATAAGAAGCTTGCAGGGCAACATGAGAGGAGGCGTGACCTAACCAGTTTGGATTACTTCCCCCACTGAAGGAGAACCGGGTTTGATTCCCCACTCCTCCACTTGCAGCTGCTGGATGACCTTGGGCAAGCCATAGTTCAGTCAGAGCTGTTCTTGAAAAGAGCAGTTCTCTCAGAGCTCTCTCAACCCGACCTACCTCACAGGGTGTCTGTTGTAGGGAGGGGAAGGGAAAGGAGTTTTTAAGGTGCTCCAAGACTCCGAGTGAAGGACAGGGTATAAATCCAGTCTTCTTCTTCTTCCTCTTCTTCCCTAGAAATGTCACACTTTTCCAATCACCAAAGATAAGACATGTAAAATATTTCTTTCTTTATTTTGAAGCAACATCCTACTGTTCCATTTGCTTTATTGGTAGAGTTACACTCGTAGAAGGGTGTAACTCTGTTTAGAATGGTGATGTAAATCCCATAATAGATAGATAAATGATTAAATAAATAACCAAGCAAGCCAGGATAGAGTCCGTAGCCTTAAAGCCTGTGTGCATGAGAGCGACATTAAATCATTCGAGCTCTTGGGAGTCTGCTCATCCTGATAAGATGTTGCCTGCTGCAGCATCTCTGCACAATTCTTGGCCCTGGCTGTCATTGCGTTTGGTATGATCAGATCATTCGGTCACCCCCTGTTCAGAGATGCAGTCAAATTCTTGCTGTCTAAGGAGGCTACCTGTTCTATCTTTGGGAAGCATGCCCAGGTGTGTGTGTCGTTCCTCGGAAAGCAAGGAGTTTTCCCTCTGAAATCCTCTGTCAGCAGCAGGGCCAGTGTGTCCATATAGGGAGGTTATGCGGTTGCCTAGAGCAGCACCTTAAGGAAAGCACTGCACTGGCCTGCCGCCCCGCCCCTCCCTTGCCAAAAGCTGCAAAGGGGAGTTCGGCTGCGGACGCTGCCACAGGGCCACTTCCGAAATCTCAAGCTTCCTCACTTGTCCTTTCTCACAATGCCCCTGGGAGGTAGGCCACGGCACCGGAGCCCATGGCCAGAGCCAGCTGCTGCATGGGCAATGCACTTCCGTCCAAGCAAAGGCGCTCAGCAGCTGCCCAACAACCTGGCCGCAGGGTTGCCCGCACTTACCCTTTCAAAGAAAACAATGGCGGCAGAGGGCTGAGTTTACAGTGGTTCTTCCCCAGCCCAGCCCCTCTCTGGCCACAGAAGGCCCTTCGGGTCCCCCCTGTCTGGCCCCCTTCCATTCCCAACCAAGCAAGTCCTGGAGAGGCCTCAGCCCGGGCCCCGGCCCGCTGTCCTGCCATACTCCAAAGAGGCTCCACGCCAGCCTCGCAAATATCGACAGGCTGGAGAAGGAAGGCCTCCTCTGGCTACCAGGGCCTGCCAGGTTGAGGGGCTCTTCGGCGCTCCTCCAGCCTGACCTTGGGCGTCAGCCCACCCCATCTAGGGCCCTCGATGCCGCAGATGGGCCTTCCTTGTGGGAGGGGGAGGCTCCCAGAACTGAGGCCGCCGCACACTGGCTGCACAGCTGAGCCCAAAGACTGCCCCGCCAGATGCCTCCCCCCTGCCCCCTGCTGGGCAATCACCACTCCCACGCCCGGGAGGGAGGGGGCAGGCAGGCGGAGGAATTACTCTCTCCACTCGTCTGGATTAAGCCCAAATCCAATCAGGGAGGAGAAAATGGCCTCTTTCAGAACCAATCAGACACGGCATGAAACCCCCCCTCAGAACCCCCCCCTAAAGAGTATACAAGATTAATTCTCAGTAGGAGACATAGAGCATTGGCTCCAAGTATAAAGCGACCTGACGAAGCATTGAGGGAAACAGATTGTTTACCTGGGAAATCTGTAGTCGCGTGGCAGTTGTTTGGAAGCAGCAGCAGCACTGCATGACATAGAATAAAGAAAAGGAGAAGAAGCATATTGGTGGGCTGTACCTGGACTACCTGAAGGCTGGCGACCCTAGTAATTAGGGTGGTGGTGTGCAGGGCTTTTTTTTGGGGGGGGGGAAGCGCCAGAACAGAGTTCCGGTACCTCTTCGATAAAATTATTTTTAAAATGTTTAAAAGTTCATAAATTTCAGGATACAGTTTGAAAACTTCATTTCCTTCTTGAGAGTTCTGGCATCTCTCTCTCTCTCTCTTTTTTAAAGCCCTGGTGGTGTGGGGGGTAATTCATGGGGTGGATTCCTCACATGCCATAGGGGGACTTGCATAGAGCGACATTGTGGGTGAAAAAACCTGACCACATGGTAGGGCTGCCAAATCCCCCCGGGGGGCGGAAAATCCCCCGCCCCAGAGGCCCGTTCCCAGACGCTGGGGAATCGGGCCCCGGGGGGAACCCCGCCCTGGCGTGCGCATGACAGGGCAGTGACGTCATGACACCGGGCACGCTGGGGGTGGGGCCACGGCCATACAAGGGAAAACTCTATGGTTTCCCCTTGTATGGTCATAGCTCCGCCCCCAGCGTGCCCGGCGTCATGACGTCATTGCCCTGTGACGCGAATGTGGCGCGCGCGCACACACGCCAGGATCCCCCCACCGGCAAGGTAAGTCACAGTTGGCAACCCTACTACATGGGGTTCCATGTACTCCAGATAACATCAAGGCAGCATGATGTCTACACAGTTCTGTAAAGTAAAGGTAAAGGTCTCCCTTGCTCGAAAGCCAGTCGAATCCGACTGTC